GTGACCTGACAGAAATAGGACAAAGAGGGCTTAACTTGAGTGGAGGACAAAAGCAAAGGATTCAGCTGGCCCGTGCTGTCTATGCTGAAGCTGATGTTTACCTCCTTGATGACCCTTTTAGTGCCGTGGATGCGCATACAGCTGGAATTCTTTTTCATGTGAGTAAGAACTGAGAACATTGCTTTTGAAGAAGCTTTTCGTAATGACTGCTTCTTAATATGTTTAATTGTAACTGCAGAAATGTGTTGAGGACTCGCTGAAGGAAAAAACTGTCATTCTGGTCACTCACCAAGTCGAGTTTCTCTCAGAAGTTGATCAAATTCTGGTAACACTTGAGTAGCAGCAAATGGAATAGAAAACACTCTGTTTATGCCCTAATCGTTTGATTATATTATTGATTGATGACCTTGATCAGGTTATGGAGGAAGGAAGAATCACTCAACTAGGAAAATATGAGGAGCTCTTAATGATGGGGACTGCATTCCAACAGCTGGTGAATGCTCATAATGATGCAGTAACTGTATTACCTTTAGCGAGTAATGAAAGCCTTGGAGATCTTAAGAAAGGAAAGGTCGAGGCTGTTGAAAAGATTGAAGACGAGATCGCAATGACAGATATTCCAAGGGTACAACTTACACAAGAAGAAGAAAAAGAGAGTGGTTATGTTGGGTTGAAACCTTTCTTGGACTATTTTCGTGTCTCCCGAGGATGGTTTCTTCTATGGTCAAGCGTATTGGGTCAGGTTGGCTTTGTAGTTTTTCAGGCTGCATCAACGTACTGGCTGGCTTATGGTATTGGGATCCCTAAAATCACTGCTACAATGCTTATTGGAGTCTATAGCATTATCTCGACTCTTAGTGCTGGTTTTGTTTACGGAAGAGCTGTTACGACTGCCCACCTTGGACTAAAAGCTTCCAAAGCCTTCTTCTCTGGTTTCACAAATGCAGTCTTTAAAGCCCCGATGCTTTTCTTCGATTCTACTCCAGTTGGACGCATTCTCACCCGAGTAATATCACTTTGCTTACATGAATATGAATACTCTACAGCTCAGTGTATGACATAATTGAATGTAACATTTGCAGGCTTCATCTGATTTGAACGTCTTAGACTTTGACATTCCATTTGCATTCATATTTGTGGTAGCACCGGCTGTTGAGCTCACTGCAGCTCTTTTTGTCATGACGTATGTCACATGGCAAGTAATTATCATAGCTCTTATTGCTTTGGCAGCCACGAAAGTTGTTCAGGTACATGTTTTGATTTTACTTCTCTTTTAGTTGGTTTACGCAGCAGAGTATTCGTCGTAAACATCTGCTTCTTCTTTAAAAAAAGGATTACTATTTAGCCTCTGCAAGGGAGCTGATTAGGATCAATGGAACAACCAAAGCTCCAGTGATGAACTATGCTGCAGAAACCTCACTTGGAGTGGTGACAATACGAGCTTTTGGAACGGCAGAGAGGTTCTTTAAAAACTACCTAAACCTAGTCGACGCAGATGCCGTGCTATTCTTTCTGTCTAATGCAGCCATGGAGTGGGTTATTCTGAGGATAGAGACTCTGCAGAATGTGACTTTGTTCACTTGTGCACTTCTACTTATCCTGATTCCCAAGGGATACATAGCTCCAGGTGCATGAATTATTTTAACTCATCATATCTTCCTGCAATTTGCCATTTTAACTTGCATGTTTCATAGCTTGTGGAAGTATCGGATAAGCTTTTCCTTGAAAGAATTTTCTTATATTTGTTCGAGATATTCATCAAACTGAAATGTCTGCATGAACTTATGCTTTTCGTTTTTATGCAGGTCTAGTTGGGCTTTCGCTATCATATGCATTAACACTGACACAAACTCAGGTCTTTCTGACCCGATGGTATTGCACCTTATCGAATTCGATCATTTCGGTAGAACGGATAAAACAGTATATGAACATACCAGCCGAACCTCCTGCAGTTGTGGATGATAGTAGACCACCTTCTTCATGGCCTTCCAATGGTACAATTCACTTGCAGGAGCTCAAGGTAAGAAGATACATTACTTGTTATAAGATGATTGTTCTGGTTATGACCTTTTAAGTAATGCTAAATGCATTGCTTTGCTTCTTCTTCTTTTTTGCAGATAAGATATCGCCCCAATGCTCCGTTGGTTCTCAAAGGAATCTCTTGCACGTTTAGGGAAGGGACAAGAGTAGGAGTTGTCGGGAGGACGGGAAGTGGGAAAAGCACTTTAATCAGTGCTTTGTTTCGCTTGGTAGAGCCAGCAAGTGGTTGCATTTTGATTGATGGTATTGACATAAGTAAGATTGGCCTAAAAGATCTGAGAATGAAACTCGGCATCATTCCTCAGGAACCAACTCTGTTCCGCGGCTGCATAAGGACCAACCTTGATCCCTTAGGTGTTTACTCCGATGATGAAATATGGAAGGTAAAATAAGAAACAAGAACGAGATTTCTGAATGTGAGATATCACCTTTCTGATGAAACCATTCCTTTTGCAGGCTCTCGAGAAGTGTCAGCTCAAGACGACGATTAGCAATCTGCCTAAGAAACTTGATTCTTCAGGTACTTGAACAACTGTAAATGTTTTCATTTCACAGAAAAGGGGACTTCACGCTTATGTTTATCATTTGTTGTTTGGTGTGACGAAACGAGAAGTGAGTGATGAAGGAGAGAACTGGAGCGTGGGACAGAGACAGTTGTTCTGTCTTGGAAGAGTGCTATTGAAGAGAAACAAAATATTGGTGTTAGATGAAGCTACAGCTTCAATTGATTCAGCAACTGATGCAATCATTCAAAGAATCATAAGAGAGGAGTTTGCTGATTGCACGGTGATAACAGTTGCACATAGAGTACCAACGGTCATAGACAGTGACATGGTCATGGTTCTCTCCTTTGGTAAAACATATTCTCTTCTCTTTAATCTCTTATAAGTTATAAACCAATTGTGTTTACTGGTCCTTTCAAACTCATCATTATGACCGGTTTTTTTGGTTGTGAATTTCAACAGGTGATCTCGTGGAGTATAACGAGCCTTGGAAGCTGATGGAGACTGATTCTTACTTCTCCAAGCTTGTTGCTGAGTATTGGGCAAGTTGCAGAGGAAGTTCTTCTCAGAATCTTCAAATCCACAGCTAAATATAGCAAAGCTTTCTAATGGATAGAAGAACCATTCATCAATTGTGATTCTCCATTATTATTATAGGCCCCATTATCAATACTAGTATATAGGTACTACGGAAGTAAAATGTTAGAGACTGGATTTCATATTATGATCTTCATTTTCACCAAAATAAATACTAATAAGAAGATTATTTACTAAACCAAATACGAATAAAATCACTTTACTTGGACCACTTTATGCCCTTTAACTAGAGATGCAAGCATGGATATTGGACAATGTCAATGTGATGTAGCTCACCAACCGGGGCGGCCCAAATGATTTTAATGCCTAAAGCTGGAGGTTTGAACTCGTGACAAACCAGTATTACTTAAGTGTAATAACCACTACACTACAAACTATTTTCTGTAT